AAAACTATACAGGGACAAAAAAATTGTACAGGGGCCAAAACTGTACAATGACAAAAGTGAAGCAGGGACCAAAACTGTATAGGTTATCAATTACTTTTTCAGCATCCAGTTACTTTTTCAGCTTGTTTGAATATTTTTATGTGTTTGTTATAAAATTTTATGAACTTTTACAAAAATTTGAAAATTAGAAATACTTTTAAAATTTTGAATATGATCTTTTGCAGAAATTTGAAAGTTAGAAATGGGCTAAACAGGTGTCCAACACAAAACCACCTGCAAACCCGTTACTTCATAATTTATGTGTTTGACCTTTTTACCCTTGGGTGGTCAATCTGTTTAAACTTAGCTTTATTTTTCAATATGTAATTAGCTAACTGTAATATTTTCTTTAATAAATACAGATTGCTCCAAGCCCAATCTTACAAATATAAATACATGCATTTGATATTTGGTTTCACCTATTTTTAAGAATGGGAATTAGTGAAAGTTGTGTTAGTTAGATAGAAAGTAACTGCCATAATTAGGTATTAACTGTCAGTTGACAGTTACATTCTAAAAATGTATAAATATTTATGTTTGATGTTAATTGTGATTAATACTGCATAAGAACTTCCTATAGGTATGGCTGTTCTTTGTTGTTTCTTTCTTTCTTTCTTTCTCTTCTGTCTTTGTTGGTTAATGAGTTGATGTTTCTACTTGTTTCCATTCCTGATTTAATGTGGCAGATTGAGGTTAGTAAAATTTTCATCACACGTCGATTAATTATCATTTTATTATTATTTAAAGATGATTGAATTCATTTGTATGAATCCTGTGAAAGGGTGAGTACCTAAGATCTATAAAAGATCTGTTAGAAAAGGTTGTTTTTATTATCTGTTTCTGTGAAAGGTAAACTCTCTGTTTCTCAAGGTTGTTTTTATTATCTGTAATAACTTTAGTTATAGATTAATTATTGTTTTTGTTATAATATGATTGAATTGATTTGTATGAATCATGTTAAAGGGTGAACATGATGGATCTGTTAGAAAAGAAGAGGTGCAGGTGTTATATGTATTGCTTGTAGAGTAGCAAGAAGCTTTTTGGATGACATTCTTTTTAATCTCATTCTGTTGAGCTATATGTTATAAACGAATATTCACAAAAATGAATTTTTAATCAAAATAATATAATAGAATCTATATTAGAAAATGAAAAATAAAAAACTTATGTACCCTAGAAAATAGATAGATTAAAAATAAATACCTTTATGTACCCTAAAAAATAGATAGATTAAAAATAAATACCTTTTCTTACCTGAGTATGTGGAATATCAGTGTAATTTATAGCAGAAACTGTTGCTTTATCACCCTTTGAGCCTGCAGCAAGTAACAAAAAAATTGTAACTCATTGTAACTATATGCATATTGCAATGCACAATCACTCATAAATCCAATTAAAAAACTTTTTAGTTGTTAAAATCGCCTAAGAGCTTTCTAAAACTCGAATGTTGTAAGTTTCTTGAAAAGACTTCATTAAAGTAACTAAATATCACGTTTTCATAAAGCAAGCAATGCTGTCAACTCAGAAATCATGCCCATTTATGCTTTAGTGTGACCATGAAACACTCCACAGTCAGATTATGTCAAAGCCTAGAAACATCTCATTCATCAATCCTATTATAAGTATACAAAATGCAAAGCTAGAATAGTAATTTTTGCCATGTAAGCTAATTTTTTTGGCAGTGCCCATCATACCTACTTGCATGGGAAACCAAGGAGATCAACCTTCTAAATGACTAAAAGTAGGTTCTACTCCTAATTGCATTTGATCATAAGTGAAAATGTTTCTTGTAGGAATAAATTAATAAGTGGAGGAGATACTAACCGTGTAAGATGCACAGCACCAAGCCACATACTGGTGTAGTTACCACCCAGATCAATGCACTTTTAATCCTCTTGCCAATAGTCCTACAAGCAAAAATAGTTAGAAGCATAAATACATACACTTTCAATGTTTAATATGCTCTAATGATGTGGGCCCCATTAGGACAAGACACAACATCATAAATTTATGTTGATTACCAACAAATGATGTGGTGTTTGTATTGAACAGGTTGAACTAATGTGTGGTTTAGAAGATAGAGATGATGAATACAAGACAATGTTAAATGAGAAGCTTCAAGTTACAGATGGCAGTGGTTTGATACAGGTGTACAGAAAAGAATCGACTTTATTTTTAACAAGATGAGATGAATGTTTTGTTTGTTTGTAGTCAGAAGATTTGTTGCAATAAAATCAAATTTTTCTTTAGACAGCAGTTTTGTGTTTGTCTTTTTTTGAAAATTATGCACCTATTTGAAACAAAACAAAACAAAATGCTGAAGGTAGTCATCAGAAAAGGTAGGCATTAGGCAAAGGGTAATCGGGTCTTTGTTGCGTTGGGTGTTACATTTTCACTCCTGAAATTTTTTGTATGTGATGAAAATTGACAGGGATTATTTTTTTTGCATAAAATACTTCAGGCCTGAAGTATTTTAACAAAAAAATATATGTAAGAAAGTACAAATACGTGAGCTATTATATGACCTTAACCTTTTAATAATTTGCCAAGTACATGCCACGTAGGTTGCATGTCAGCAAACACTTATCAAATATTTTTTTTTCCTAAGTGATGAAGAGTGGTGTTCCTAACTTTTGTGTTGTTCTTCTAGCACTAAATGATCTAGGGTATTATTGTCTTTTTCTATTTTATGATACAAAAGGTTTAAACTTTAATGATAATAATTAATATGTTAATTGATGTATTTATTTGTATAGGTATAAAGCAAGGGGAATTCGGTTGGATTTTGGTGATCTTGCTTATCTTTCATGTGAGAAAAGAAAGTTCTTTGAAACAATTGGAATGGAATTTGGAGTTCCGAGGTTTGGAAAGACTGGAATCACTGCTGGTAATGACCTCAATGAAGAAACTTTGGATGCTTTAAACAAACAGGCAAGCTTTGTATAGATTTTTAATTCTTAAGAGTATTGAATCATTTAGTATTTTGTAACTTTGAGTATCGGCTTTAGCTTGGGCAGTAAGTTTCTCTTGAGAGAACTTTTCTGATTAGGGCAGGAGGATAATCATTTGGATTTCCTTTCTGATTTCTTCTTATTTCCATTTAGTAACCAATAGCTTCCTAGATCTATATATCTCATATTTGAGTTTCATTTATCTGTTATTGGATTTTGGTTTCTATCAAAGAGGTTGTGTGATGATCAAAATGTAAAATGAATCAATGGCTGATTTCATAAATACATACACTTTCAATGTTTAATATGCTCTAACAAGTCTTTTGGTTCCAAAATAATATGCTTTTTGACTAATTAAGTGAAACAACTTAGAACTTTTATCTATGATCTTGAGAAGATCAAGTGTCCTTGCAGAATTTCTCAACAGTTCAAAAATAAATCTCGACTCAGACATCTACATTTAGGGTTTAATGAATGCTTCAACCATGATTTCATAATCTCAATCCCTATTACAAATCGTCCATACATACCCCCAATCGAAATGAAAGATACCACACAATTTCATAATTTCATAAGTACAATCAGAAAACATAAAAAATTACGTTCTACCAGACCAGGGTTCGAAGAACCTGAAGAGAAACATCTCACAGGGGAGTTTGATTAAGAGTATTTTGAGGGATTTTTCGACTCTTGTCTTAGGCAACTGACATTATATATACACGGTTAGCCAATCCTTTCTTCACCTTGAGGACAAGGTGAAAGTTTGGGATAAAAAGCAGAGAAAATGTTCTCAAGATGAAAGAAGGGGATAAAAACATTACATATAACTTGAGAAGCTTGAGATTTTACCTTGTGTTCGACTTGAGAAGCTTCAGTAGGTGAGAAACCCTTGAATGTGTTCAACTTAGCATCAGATTCATGGCTACCAGGCGCTTCTTCTCCTTGTGTCGACTTTCTTCTGCTCTTTCTCTTCTGTTACAACGTTCTCTGGCCAACCGAGAAGTTCACTTCGCCTAAATCGGTTCAACAGGAACACCTTAATCGGACCTAGGGCACGTAAATTTAAGCAGTCTCCAATGATGTCAGTTGAGCCCACGGTCGTCGGCGAGGCGAAATCAGCCACATAAGTAACCTAACGATCGGAGGAGGAGACGTTGTCTGCAAGGGGAGACGAGTCGAGGATAGAATCGTAGAGAGTGAAGTGACTGATGAATAGTGAGTGTTAGATATTTTATTAGTAACCTCGATTTTTGTGAAGAGATGCGCGCCTTTCACTAAAATTATAATGCGACATTTTGAGACGGCGCACATTTTACATTAAGTGCCCTCCGTGTTTTTAAGTTTTTTACATTAGACACTAACTCTAAGGGCACTCAATAAAACGCGACATATATACTTAAATTTTTTGAAGAGATGACCTTTTTCTAATGTCACTCTCTCTTGCGTAACATAGATCAATGAGCGTCGTATTTTGCGCATCGTAAAAGGCCTTTTTTCTAGTAGTGTAATAAACGCAACTGAAAATTTAGAACATTAAACGATCTCCCGAAGAAAAATGGACCCAACAGAAACTTCCAACTCAAAGAAGAATGAACCTTTAGTTGTTGGAGAACCATTTCTACCTCTCCAAACCTGAATTATATATTGGTCTGACTCCCCGATACATCTCCCATGAAAAACATCACCATGTTAAATCCTCATTGAATAACAAAACAAACAAAATACTTCCAACCCTGATGATCTTGATGCGACTGATGGAAACAAGTCGTTGACCACAATCAGCTGCAGAACACTTATGCTAGACATACCTGTCGATCTTGATCGAAACCCAAAAGAAACAAAGGGGCCACCTTGCACCGAAGACCAACCACCGATACTGCTGTCAAAACCCATTAGAAGAATGAACCATAATACTCTACCCTCATACTTTAAAAGAATAACTTGCCGATCCGCATGGAAGCTGAAATTGTACACTATGTCTGACCTCCTGTCAGACAGAACCATTCCAATACCAAACCCAGGATGGTTCAGCTCTGACCTCGAACTGAATGACCAAGCCCTACCGAAACTATCCACAAATATTCACAAACATAAGCCCTAACTACTTTCCAATGCTTAGCACAAAATCCGAATACAAGATTGACTCCCGAACCAAAAGATGAACCGTTAAAGGCTAACCTAGCCCATCCGTCAAAATGACTCCAATAGTTGTTCAGTCCAACAGAGCTCTCTTAATCAATCACATTGCACACGTAATCACTAAGTTTGCTTTACTTCAAGTAAATATTACAACCGATCTGTAGTCACACATCACCTCCGACCTCTGTTGCCTAACACTTACTAATTCCATGCATGTTGTAGACCTCCCCCAGCTAATGAACCGACCCACCCAGGTCTAATACTTCGGATGGAAACCATGACCACTCAAATTGAAATCCATCTGAAAATCTGAAATCCCAACCTGCCTATCCCCTACACAGATAGAGCCAAACTCAAACACAAGAGCCTGATCTGACAACAAAAATTGAAACCACCCATATCTAACCTGATACTCAACTCATGACCCAAGATCCACAAAACTACGCATGCTTTACACCCTAATCCTCCTGATTTGCAAAAACCGCTCAGCATCTCACACTGACTAATGAATCTCACGGCTCCCCGTAGTCTTACAAAACTCCCCCCATTGGCTAGTGAATGCTACGACACCCCTCTATCTTACAACACTCCCTCACTCGCCATGGGCTCACCCCACGGTCTTTCCATTCAGCCCCAAGTGATTACCCCCACTTGGCTCCATCCACTCTTTTACACCCTCATAACCGCCATATTACCAAACCATCCCACAATCTCATTATCAACCCATCACCATAATGATTTCAATGGACTCGTGCTCCATGACCAAACATTCATAGGTGCACACACCTACCTATATTAAGCATTATACTACTCTCGATGAAAATTATCCTGAAGATGATCATTCATTCCCGTGCACATACAACATGCATCATATCGCTCTGCACCTTGCCTTAACCACAGCTAGACCTAAGTCTCATAACCCGGACCGCCGATCCCTATAACCCAATCTTCTGAAGCTGCAACTCGAATAGACTGAAGATGCTTTCAACAGAATACTCAGCCCTCCCCCACTTAGGGTTCGAACTACCACCCATTGGCATTCCAAACATACTGCACATCAAATTGTCTCACCAGATATACCATACATGACTCTTGGAGAGTACCACGCAACACTCGATGACCTTCCAGGTAAAGACCAATCAACTCTAAGCATTCTGAATCTCAGATGGAGACCTCGTAAACTTCCCAAAGCAACTTCCTCCAATCTCTAAGAATCTCATATAGTTGCACAAGAATATGTTTTGGACAGTCCTAAAATAGCACTGACACTTCACCTGGGAAATATGAACAATCACACACTTCATTCTCTGAATCCTCAACCAACACCCCCATCGCAAGAATCGACATAGAAATAGGCGACCTCACTCTTACGGTCGACTCGCAGCAATGACAACAAGGGTCGTCGTCCCGATATACTCTTCCTGATTACCTGGAATTGTGGCTAAAGTACGCCTTACTATACCTAAATAAGGCATATCCCTATCCTCATCTATCACAGCCACCACTGATTACTTTCTTACAGCATAAGAAACACCTCAAGATAGACATACTACAAAATCCCTTGGTGAAAATACTGCAACTATCTGCTACCCCATGAGGTTTACCACCGAACTCTAAAACAGGAAGCTCGCTCTCCCTTCCGTCCAATACGGAAAGCGAGAATAATATGTAACATACACGTTAATAACCTTGTATAATTATCGTGTTTTGTAAGCTTGATAGCTTAAAAGAGAATATTATTATATAATATATGATTTTGAGCGTTGAGTTCTAACAAGATAGCTTTATGAGATTTGAAGTAAAACTATGTTTAGAATCTTTCGAAAAGTGATGGGAAGTCTTATATGATTCCGATCAAAAAGTTAATTATCGAAATTAATGAATAACATTTAAGTTGGAAATAAGTAAAACTAATGTTATAGAAAGTACTAAATTATCTCTTTAGAAACGTTTAGGTGAAAACCTCATCGAAATCCGAGTTATAACGAAGAAGTTATAACTTATCAATGTTTCGCGACAGAACCGACACGACGTCGTATGATGTAAAAAGTGAGTTTACGATAAACTATTTTTTTAGCTTTACTGATATAAATGAAAGTTATAGCATTCGTTAAACTGAGAACTTTCATAAAAAGAACGTCCAAATCTTACTTTGTATGAGGAAGATATGATTTTTCTAAGATTCGGCATAGCAGTGTACAGCTCGAAATTCGAATTATAGATCGACCAATTTTTAGATGACACAACCTAAACGAGAATCAAAGATCTCGTCAATAGTAGTTCACGGTAAAAAGACAGACGAAAACGAACGTCGGATGAAGAAGTTATGAATTTTTAACAGACTTTTCGTGTCCCGGCCTGTTAAAAATATAAAATTAAAATGAAATCAAATTTAGCCGACGAAGTATAAATGAAAGTTGTTGAGTATAATTTCACCTACGTGTGGATATAACGAAAGTAAAAAAACAGAGCCCGTATGCAAAAGATATGAATTCCCGAAGTTTTAGACACAAACTTCGAAGCTTATCCAAAGCAGTACGCCCAACGTACTTAGACTATGCCTCGCGTACTCGGAAGCAAGGTCAGGAATCAGCCACGTCACCTTTCCTTTGCATGCAGACACATCAGACGTCACACATCACTCTACGCGCAACGTACTTCATTTACACTTAGCATAGAGCCATACCAAACAGTACGCCCCGCGTACTAGAATTACGCCCAGCATACAAAGAGTCTTCGAACTACTATAAATAGAAAGAGAGCCTTCTGAATTTTGTTTACAATTTTCATACTCTTTAACTCTCTTTTATCCCTCAAACTCTCCTAACACCCCCCGAAGCCTAGGGAACTACCCTA